GCATCTTTATAAAAGAATCAAACAGAAAAATATCATCGATATAACACAGTAAGAGGAATCTCCGTAAGAAAAATGAAAGAGGACCAAAAATTCTCATAATGACGAGGCAGGAGAAACCTGATCAAGGCATCCGAAGAAAAAACTATCCTCAGGAAAAAAATTAGACGCAAACAGGAATCTTCATAGTGACACGGCAAAAGAAGGCATTTCTATAAGAATGACGAGCGAAAGAATATATTAAAAGTACACGTGGTGAAATGGATTTTGCGAAAAAAGATGCCAAAGAAGTAAAAGACACTTCACAATGACGTACCATAAAGAAAGAAAACTGCATAAAGATGGAACAGGAAATATCATCCAGAGAAAGGGGCCACATAAAGAAACATCTTCATATTAAAACTACAGGAGGGATATAGCTATGCGAAAATGTAACCCACGGAAGCATTGTTATAATAACCTTCCAGATATAAGCATCCTTAAGAAAATGCCACCCAAAGAGAAAGAATCACAGTGCCGCGCCAAAGCAGTACACATCACAGTGACGTCACACGAGCATAGCGCAATGACCGCAAGGGGGAGCATCATAAAAATGAAGGAGAAAAAAGCATAATCATGAGTATACTACACAGAAAAAATCGTGATAAAACTCAAGCAGATACAGGCATCTTCATAAAAATTCAAGGGAAAATGGTATCTTCATAAGGATGTTGCGAGAAATGTGATCATAAAAAAAAGCTCCAAAGAATTTTAGTCAAAGAAATGCGGCGAAGAAGTGTATCCTCATGAAAGAATTAAGTAGAGTAATATATTTCATGAAGCAGAACGAAACAGCGAGCGTTCGAACGATATATAACACATCAAGGGACCCCCCCCCAAAATCGATCCACATGAGAGGACTTTGGCCAGCTTAAGGGACATGGAGCAACGGCGGCGAAAAATTACGAAAAATGGAAGGAACTTCGTGAAATTACCCCAAGTGAAACGACGTTCGCGAAATTACCCCAAGTGAAACGACGTTCGCGAAATTAGGCCACGGAAACGACTTGCGCGAAAATTAGGCAACGTGAAACCATGTTCACAAAATTAGCCCACATTAAGACGATTATATAGAAAAGGGTCGCCATGAAGGAATACTCTCATAAAAATGCAGAAACATGAAAAAACACACTCATGGGAATGTTACAATACGAAGGCGCATCCACAGGCAGTATGCAGCATGGGGACTCATATGCAGGGGAGTTGCGATATGAATTAACACACTTATAAAAATGCAAAAACATGAAGAAACATAGAGAGGAACAATGCAACATGCACGGGCATACTGATGACAATATCGAAACATCGAAAAAAACACTCACAAAGAGGATGGGGCATGAAAACGCATTCACAAAAATAGTGTAACTATAAAAGAAGCCATATAAACAAGAAGGCCCAAAATTTCACGCTGAACCCATTAGATATCCATATCTTTATTCTATTGCACTTAAAGGAGTTTCCAGAGAAAGGCATGAACAGATTTAAACGCTATAGCTGCCTTTTTAGTTGTATGCAACATACAATTAAAGTTCAATATGAAATTAGAACTCATATTATACCACTTCAAATTGAACAATCCATTACTCCCTTCATATATGCATAGATAGAACACGTCATGAACATTCGTGTAATTTTAGGGGGCATATCCTTATGCCAAATGAACACTCTTCTAATCTGAATCTGCATATGCTGCTAAGTATGTTTTCTTTCCGGGTAAAAATATGTACCACTGGTATCATTCTGTCCCTTCCTTCTTCCCTGTCTGGGTATTATTCCTTTTCTATGACGTCAGATTCTTATCATAGTTCACGAGGTTAAAACTTGTTATTCTTATCACAGTTGAACTCATCCAATATATAAAAGGGGAAAGATATATATATATGTATATCCAAGGGTATATATATGTTCCATGGTGACATGTAAGGAGCTCAAAGACACATAGGATGTTATCGATAAATGACAGCAACGTATAGAGGAATGTAAAGTACCTGTATCTCTTCGGCCAATAGACTCCTTCTGCCTCTCGTAATTGATGAATCCTCAGTTCATACCCATAATGTTAATTCGCTTAACACTCTCAAAGGAGGAATGCCGTATGTTGTCTCCATAGTTTACTGCAATTCATCATATGCGAAATGGAAAACTCCGTTATAATCAGATATATCTGTTATCCTCAGTTTCTCTTCATGATTCAATACTGGAATTTCTTCCTAATCCTTATGATTTATTCGTCGTAATATATTATAACCACTCCCACAATTCCTTCACTATTTCTGTCCCTTCTTGTACTATATATATGTGGGGGTAATCACAATCGATTGGTGAAGAATTATTTTCGTCATTGCCTATCGATTCTGTTTGGGTTCTGATTAACATACTTGGATTGCGTTGTATCCCCTGCTGCTTCACATACGGACGTAATACTGGTATTTTTCTGTCTCTTTCTCTGTTAAATTCTGCTCATAATAGGTAATCTTTCTGACCGAATTAATCAGAGTGCTCTAGCGCATCCCTTGTAGTGAACCGCTCGCGTAACCGGACAGGAGGAATTGTTAAATATAATTCTTGCAATATCTTGTCCTTTCGACCTTCTATTGTACGGTGAAGAACGCTTAATTTTTATTATTCACTCGCCTACTTTTTTCCATTTAGCCAATCTCCTGATTCAAAATCGATTTTTTCCTTAATTAATATTAAATTGATGTAGTGACAGATTTAACAGTTTCATTAGAATCATCATGATCTTCTCACCTAATCTTTGACCTCAATATCCAGAAGGGGAGATCCTTAAAGAATACCGGATTCACATCAATGGGCGCGATATTATCAAAATGAATAAATGTGAGGTTCCTCAGTTAATTATTAGTTTAATACTTACCACAAATGTTTTCCACAGCTTTTGTCTCATAGTAGCCGATTCTGTATCCTGAGAAACCATTTCCTCTTAAGTCGCCTTCCAGTCCATCCGTATACTTTCACGCGCCAATCAGTACACATAAATAAACGACGAGTTAAGTATCGCAGAATCTATCAGGAGACAGAAGAAGAGAACAAGCAACAAGAATTAAGCAAACACTTCTGGAAAGGACTCTTCCGTACAATTGACCAAGTGTACAAGATGAGCATTATATTCGGATTTGTGAGTTATCACATTCTACAATATCCATTCTGGTACGCCGACGTGTGGCGCGTGTGCTATCATAACTGTTTAGAAGCAATATATTAGCGTTATTTCACTTATCAACATAATATTACCAGACACACATATATATATATCTATACCTACGTGTTTATAGGTATAGGTACCATTATAGGGGTCAATCAAGGATTATTGAAGTGAGCAGTCATATAAATATGCCTCTCCACTCTTACTAACTTCTCATCTTTCTCATAACCTCTGCGCTACCCGGCGAGGTGATCGCGATAGGAGTAATGTTTCTCAATAGACATAAAATGTTACTTATAGAAAAATGCTCCCTTCTGTGTACAAAAGAAGACACATAGACGTTGCGAGCAAAACGCGTTTGCAAGAGATATTCCACAAGATTCTTCCTTCCATGTTACCACCCCAGCTATTGCATCTTCTTTTAGGGGTCTTTTCCTTCTTTCATGCATAGAATGTCACCATAGATAGACAGCAACAAACAAGGACGACCTTCTTCATGAATACGAAGAGGAAACACATTTCAAATATGTAATTTTACACGAATGCTACAGCTTGCATGGAATCGATGTGTTCATCTTTTTTCTTACTTCTTCCATCTCCTTCCTGTGATCTTTGTAATCCTATCCATAATGGATTATATGAAGTGCTCATCTCTGCTGTATATTTAAATCCTTGTCAGTGTTTCCAGATTAGATACACGTATAAACAAAGCACGTAATATTAAAATTCCTCTCTTTCAGATTCTTATGAATAATTAAAATCCTTTCATTCTTATAAGACGCTGCTCAAGGCGTCTTTATAACTCCGAAACCATTTATTATTAACCTGATCCCCACACAGCAATTACTACTAATACCCAATACTTATATATCACATGAAGAAAGACATGTCATTTGAGTGCCTCCACACATATTTGCGTTGTGTATTTCAGAGAAGGCCCCCTCTATTAAAATAAATAAATAAGCACAAGTCGGCACTGTCTTAATGTCAAAACTGATTTCATCCATATGGAGCAGTCAAATCAATGTACTCCCTCATGAGGCACGGAGTACTCCCTGTGATTTCTTACATAAACAGCATAATATTTGACGTCTCAGCGGCGGATTTATGTATCCTTTTCCAATCAGGCCATGCGTTCTCTCTGTTAATCTGAACGCTGTCTTATTCTTCAACTGTTTAACATGCATTTTTCCTGTCATCCTCCCTGGTCATAGAATTAGGTTATTTGAACAACCACCTCGAAGTTTCTCTTAAAGAATTCGCAATGGTTTCTTGTTCAGTGTCTATTTCAATGCTCAGAGTGGAAATACGTCTATTGGGGGCTGTTCTGTATTGACAAATTTACACCTATTCATAATTTCCTGTGAACTTCGTTCCTGCAAACTATGCTGCAAAGTCATCTTAGTGTAAAGGAGAAGGGATAGGGAAAAAACGAAACAAAGAAAATGCCTCCTGGTATCTGTACGAATCAGGAGCCATAAATAGATGGCATCGCAAGGAAAAATTTTCACCTCCTGTATATTATGACACAGAACCGTCTCCAACCATAATTCCTTCTACATTATCCCCACCTAATTGGAACCCTCTGTGCTGTCCAAAATTGGGGCGGCTACATATTCTATCCACGATCACTGTGCTAAAATTGGATTCTCCGTAGACATAGGTTCCTTATGGTGCTACATCTTACACCTTATATAATACCACAATTGCTGTACTAGAGACCAGACACGATCCAACTAATTGCGTTGCGCATCAAAAGAATATGAACTTTCAGATGAACATTTGAATATAATACAGGTTACATCCAACTATTTACACCATAAACCAGATAATGTTCCCCCCGCCGCTGCACGGGGAGAATTCTATAATAGGACGGATCATTGTTGTCTCCGTTCTTCAAAATGTCCTGAAAAATAGATTCAGTTACGTAATGAATTAATGATGAATAATATGAAATGACTTGATCACAGGATTCGGACAGCATAGTGGGGGACTATCCCATATTACTTAGTATTCCGTACAGAGTATATTTGTACGAATCTTTCCCCTGTTATGTCTTTCCCCATATTAACTTTAGTATTAGGTGTACATAGAGTAACCGTGACATATACATTGTCGTAAGCAGAATATGGCAGACTGTAAAGCGTTCATGTATTTCTTGCCTTCTCGCATGTTTCATTACCTCATGCTCTATGAAAAATTCTAAAGAGACTGAAATGAATGAAACATCTTCTTTCCGCAAAATAACACGTCGATATACTTCATTGATTCTGCGGCTCCCTTTATCATTTTCTTGTCATATTATTCGAAATATAAAAATTACCCAGTCACCTTCGCTTAGTCTCAGCTTCATAAGAAACATCCCGAAAAATTACATATAAAAATGAATTCATCCTGCACATCATTTTTAATTGTGGTCCTACATGTAATATCATATAGACTAGAGGCGTATATTTCGTGTGATTCACATAGTTCAGAACATCGTGCCAAGAGGGTACTTCTCCTTACTTCATAATATCTTAGCAGTGAATGACAACCGTCTATAAATAATGGAGCACAGATATGCTTCCAACGACGAGGCACTTTTTCGAACGAGAATAAATCCAATAATCTATTCCTCCTATACAGTTCAATGACACGACATGATATATGCTATACTTAATTTGTTCCAATTCTTTTTTTTTTTTTTTTGCACACACAGGCATGTCGTTATGCATTATGAACAAGGGATAATTGCACATGTGTTTACTCTTATAGCGCGCAAAAATAGTTTCCAGAAATGCCTTAAGCAGTTTACGATCAACAATAAACGGAAACTAATAAATCAGAAGACGCTCAACACGGGAAGCGGAAAAGGACGAGGAATTTATAAATATCCTCCTCTCATTAAAAGGCTCCTTAGGAAATTTATTAACTTCTACAGAGATTTACATGTAAGGATCGCTCAAAGAAGAGATTGGATTGTTCCTCATTTCTTCTACTCTGTTATACTCTCCTCAGTTTGGGTCCAACCACAGTTAACACCGCCGGTAGGGACGCTTCATTTGAGGACACTTGTGAGCATCTCTTTTCTTTTCCAATTTACACACATCACGTCTTGCACTCGTCAAAAGAGAACACCATATTGTAAGTAATACTAATTACAATGCATTCGGTGAACCAGAATGTACTGTATATCTTCATATAACTGGGCTAAATATATGTGACTATTCTTTTGCAATCACTCTGCCTCTATTCTGGAAAGGACATTCTTATGCTATGACTTAGCATTAGTATCTACATGGTTCCAGGGTATCCTGTTCTGTGGTTTCTTTAAATTGACATAAATCATATCTAAATAGATTCCTTATAGCGTAAGGTAATAGAAAATTCCCAAATAATGTCAAATTGTTTCCCATTCTGAGCTTATATTCCTCTCAGAACTGAATTGTGCAAATTCTTTATTTTCCCGTTTTTAAGGCATCATTCTTTGATTAATCCTAAGATATGTCCCAAAAGCGTTATTCATGTTCCGATACGGATAATACAGAACATAGAATGGGATTCCAATGAAACTTTAACAGCAGTGGTACTGAAATATACGGAATGTTAAAATTCTATTGTTAGATATTACAATTACTAAGTACAGACATGGACGTTCACAACGGTTTTCATCGATACCTATGGTATTCCCTCCCTAAATCAAACGTATATTTATACATTGTCTATGTGATGTATGATAATAGCACATTATGAATATCCTCTTCAATACGATGCCGTTCCTAGAGTAAAACCTATCCTTGAGTCAATACCAAGATTTCGCATTTAACGTATAGATATGCCTACGGCATTATACATAATTTGAGCATCACTTCCCACTTTAGCAGACAGTATCGACTCGGTATAGTATGCATATTGACTTTGTCAATTCTCATTTTAAATAAAAAGCCTCATATTTCCCTAGAAGAGATTTAGTGGAAAGAATGAAGACTCTTCTTATCCATAATAAAATGTCACTACAACAGTGCATGATTGAACTGATTCATAAACATCCCTCATAAATAAATATAGATACTTCCATTAATAATTCCATTAACGCCCTCGAATAAAATATATTAATAGACCCCTTGCCTATCTTCCCTAATTTCTAATAGTCACATTTAAGCCGGATGCCACTATTCTTCATACATAATCAGCAGTTTCCCTTATATAATGTTACGGATAATAGTTTATAGACAAAATAATTATCAGGTACTGGAGAGATTATACAAAATGGGGCTATGCCTGCTCATATACTATCATTATAGGGAGGAGTTCATTTTAGTAAAACAAACATACACCATAAGATTCTTTCAACCCACTGATTGTCCCTTATATTCTTATCTAAACGAGAGAGATGCCCATTTCTCTCTTTAGAGGGGGGGCATTCTTCGGCTAAATTCCTTTTTAATTTTCATAGAAGCCTTCCTCCATAGGCATACAGATAGATATACAAAGTGAATATCGCAAATTGACAAGCAATAAGAAACATTTAAAATATTCTTATCACAGATTGGGGAACCAGTTTCTTCCGGCTTAATAATAAACATTGCTAAAAGCCATCTCGGAACTAATTATCTGCTTTCTTGTTCGAAGTAGTAGCAATAAGTTACTGATAGATTTGAGATTTAACAACTAAGGAATCAAGCGAATAATGTCTCCACAATGCGGGTATACAGTATAATATATAATAGTCAAAGATATAATTTTATAGAAAAAGCATGTTTATTCAAACTGCACACAACATTAATACAGAACGGTAATCTAACAATTCCAATGTAAATGATTGATTGTCCCCAATGGGATTATAATCGGCATATATTGTACGTATAAGTAAAAAAACTCTCGCTTCCGTATGAACTATGGGGATGCAGCCAACTAATGGGCGCTATTCAGATCTGGGTACATGAAAAAACAGATAAATTAGCACCGCAGTATTAATCTTCTCCAATTCTGACAAGGCTTCATAGCTCTGTTTGTAGGAAAACACTAACAAGATCTATACTATTTATCCGTTTCCTTTCGTCTGTATTTCAAGGTGGTGATATCAGACTGATAGAATTTGTTCTGCATGATAAAACATAAAATACGAACAGTCATAGTATGAATATATCACAGTTGTGCCTGAATAGCACTAATAAACATGATATCTGTCACAGCGACTCTTATTATCCTTAGATAAATACAAGGAATAATTTAATGAACGTCATATATAAATACATTCTCTATGAGAACACAAGCGTTCCAACACACAAGTGGAATTCATAACCGACAAAATATCTTCTGTAAGAGTGGATCAGAAAGTTGTGCAATACCCTCCTATAACCGCCTGTACTCGAGAGTCTATTGTAAGAATTCCTTGTAGAAGCAAGAAATCAGGTGATAAATACAAGTCCTTCAACATGTGTTCACAGATTTCAATAAAGGCATTCAAAGAATCGTCAGGCAAAAGGCGTGTTGTGTACCCCTGCCATAGTAACCATATGATTAAGAAAAATTCACTAGTGACATAGACGAAGAAGAGGATACACATTTGAATATGAGAGACAACTCCTGAGAAAAAGATCTTACAACAGTATGGATTAGCATTAATATAGATGAATATGTTCTCTATAATTCGGCTCCTCATCCCTGCGTGTATAACTCCCCGATTTTACAAATATCTCCTATGGGAAAGGGATGAGAATAAAACAGCCAAGGAAATAGCACTAGATCAGTAAGACTATTGTCCCTCTGTATATATCTCAATGAAGGAAACCGACGGAGTTTGAACATTGACTGTTCCGTATCTTTATATTAACACGGTTAGAATATGTTGAATATGGGGAGAATAATAAAGAATCTACCAATATATCTCTTCTTCTATCTTCCAAGACACCTAAAGGAAGAGCCTAGAGAGAAAGTAAGAGAAGGCGCCTTAAAAACAACCAGGAAGCGCAGGGTTAACACACGAAGGAGGAAATAATAAAGTAAATCGAGGGGGAACGAACAACACCTGGAAACGCAGAGTGGGCAATGATGCTTGTGAGCGGCTGCTTAAAGTCAAAACTGTAAATCCGGAGCCGACAGCATTAAATCGTTAACCGTAAAGAATAGACTTTAGAGGCTGATCACACAACCAGAAACAGGAAGGATAAGCCTTTAACGATAGAGCTTGCAAACTAAATCATACACCCCAAAGACTCGACCTTGAAAACCAACTAATACAGCACATATCAAAACCTTAAAAAGTAAAAAACAAGCAATACAAGATGGCGCCCCAAATTCATACCTGTAACAACTACACGTGATGCCTAAGACAAAAACCTTCGGGGGGATACCCTCAAGAATAATAGGACGAAATACACCAAAACACCTTAGAGCATGAATCATATCAAATACACCTGAACAGTGCACAGTACCCAAGAAGTATAGACCATAAACCTAGGGCAGGCAGAAACCACCGTACACTTCATCAAACAAAGATAAGCAATAAAGGTATCCCATAAGTCCTAAACAGTGAAGTTGAATCCGCAACCAAGGAATCTGAATCGTACACCGTCAAGATATGGCAGAAGATCCTAACCCTAAGGAGATAGGAAATAAAAACGGCCAACAGAAATAGGGGAACATATGTAAGGAATTAACCCTAGAAATAAAGGATAGAGGGTGCGAGTACAGGCTAAGGAACGCGCCTCAGTGATAATCCGTAGAAACTAAGCCATGAGATACACAGACTAAGACCCAAGAGCCACAACCCAGAAACTACACCATAGATCATAAGAACCTAAGAATGGTCACAGTACCAAAGGTGCATAATCAGTGAGTCTTAACCGCCTAAAATAAATTGTCCAACAATACTACTAAGCGCTAAGGGGTAGGAGGAACCCCCTGTCAATACACCGGAACCTAAGGGCATGAAACTAGGAAATAGAGCCTGGCCACTACACTCAAGAGTGGAAATAGGGGGATAAGAAATCAAGCATTAATCCTAAATATTGAAGAGTAAAGAGTGAACAAGAAGACTTCACACAACGGCAGACAACCATAAAGCAATAGCGCAATGCCGTGAGTAGCACCAGGATGAGACGGGTGATTACGTCCTGAAACGTAACCCGGTACAATTGAAGCCTAAGAACCAGAAAGTACAAATAAGAAATATAAACAGAAGTGTACTCTTTAAGACGACTCCATAAAATTTCAGCCCTCAAAATTACAGGGATCTGAGCCAGAGGGGAACATAACAGGGGGACAACAGGCCTAAGCAAAGAAAGGAACAGGAGAAAGTCTCAGGCAGGAGGGCCAAATAACAGCTTAAACAGTACGAAATAGAGACCATATAATAAAGAAAAGAGGAAACAAGTAAAAGCCTACTTCTGAGATGTACATTTCCAATCAATACGCCTAAGCTTTGCCTGTGTCCCCCAGTGCCTGTAGCATGCAAACTACTTCCTTGCACCTGAACAAAAGGCCATACCAGGAGCCCCATAAAGGTTAAAACCGAGGAAATACAACAAGAACAGGAGCACTCACCCCCCAGCGGCTACATCTAAAATCAGGAACTTAATCATTCTGGGTTAAGGCATACTCCCTGAAGGATGGGAGCTAAGGAGTTACCGATATCTGAAGTGGCAATAGGCAGCAGCTATACCCCTCGAAGCGGAAACCGTAACGTCCTAACAGATAAACTCTAAACTTAGCGCAATAGTCTTTCTCCATGGACATAGAACCTCAATGTGAAAACTACGCGTAAAGCCTAAGCGCAGAGAACTAAGAAATTGAATCGTAGGGGAAAAGCGAAGCCTCGAAGTTATGACCCTGAAACCGAGCAGCCCAGAACACGAAGCAGCAAGAGTTATAAATTAAGCCTAACCCGTAAAACAAGGGAACGACACCCTCAGGAAGAGACAATAGCAAGCGAAGGGTCATTCCGGAACCACGAACAATGGGGGCTAGCTCCCAAGGCTACAGCTAAGAATAGCCCCTAAAACCTGAGACTCGACTCGAAGACTATGCACCTGAGCGAAGCAGTCTACAGACAACCGGCCCCCCCCAGACCTCAATCACCAACCCTATAAGATACAAGTGCCCACTTGACTCCCTGAATTCTCAACAGTCACCCTGAAATTTCATGTCTAGAGACCAAGCATAAAAGAGTAGAGCTAAGTTCGCAGCCTTAGATCCTACAGTATGAAATCTAAACATAAGCAATAAGAGTAGGAAATTAAACCGCACCCCCACAAGAAGCAGACACCCTTAACTCCTCAAAACAGAGGGCGAAACTCAGGAGGAAACCTCTCGTCTGTATGCCCTAGGGTACAGAAACCTGCCTAATAAAATAAAGAAGATATCCCTCCAACTGTGTGCACAAGGGGTGGAGGCCAAGGAAGGAGTACTGATCCCGAATTCAGGAAACCTAGGGGGTACCTAAAACGCTGGTTAAGACCACGGGCCCTAGATATTAAAAAAATCCTTCCTTCATACACCCGGAACTTAACAGATACCACAGATAACACTAGCACCTAATTAATGGAACATCACGCTTGTGGACGGAACCTTGGGGGCTAACACCCAAGTATTAGAAGCAAATAACTACTGCCTATAGACTGAAACAGACGGCCTAAACCCCTGGAATCAAACAATTATCACCGCCATCCCCCCCCATGCACCCTAAACGATAAGACATAAATCTACAAGTTAGGAAACAACTCCTAGCAACTGACCAAATCTGCATAATAAAAGTGGCTGGAGACTATCACCCCAAAATCGACCGGAGAACATATAGTCGGAACCGACGCGTCTAAACCCGTGCAGCAGAATCAATCCTCTATCTAATGGAATAAAAGACCCACAAGGAAAGGAACCTAAATGTCCAATAACCGCCACCGGGGGAAACTCTGGAGTATACCTCATAAGAGTTTGTCCCACGCGACGCCAGGGGCACACAAGTGAAGAAACAACAATCAAACAGCACAAGAGGAGGCCCAAAACGGCACCCAAGTTATTCCAAGCAGGAAGTAGGGATTGACTCGGAATCCAGAGACTAAGAAGCCACGAGCCATGAATGCTGTCGCGAAAATATAGTGCAACATGACAGAGGCTGCCCCCTTATCATTACACCCTAAGAGCTCAAAAAGGGACTCGTACCCTACACAACAATTTTAGGTCCTGAACAGAACCATCTGATTCGTAAGGAATAAACCCCTAAAGAGAAACGGTGGATCATGAAGAATTAAAACAAAGGAATAAGCTCGGAGGACAGACACTTAGCAAAACAAGCCTATCAAGGAGGAAAACCGGCTGGATGGTAAACCCTCAGCAACAAGTGAGCGCAGCGACGGCAATAAAGGCATACCCGTAGAATATAGATCCTATAGAGTAATCCCCAAATCTTAACCCCACCAAACAAAGTAGTAGGAACCCTCCCCCCCCCTAACCAAACTGCCATCCTCAGGCAGGAAGTGAAATGCAAAGAAGTATACCAACCAAACTAACAAAATCTCCCTGAAAAATACATCCTAACCTTGCTTGCTCAAACAGTAGACCGTAAACGCTGGCCAAAGAAGAGAGAAGGTTACAAGTAAAAAATGAAGCGTAAAACAAACCCCCCCGAAGCTTCCGAAGCGTACCCACAAGGAGAATAAACTCCCTAAAGCATAAGCCCATAATGCATACTCCAGAAGTCTGAAATGTAAGAAATGGACCCTAGACCCCCAATCATGATGCCTAAACCATAAATCGAAACTCCTAAGAAGTAGAGACTGAACCCTAAACTACCAAACGCCAAGAGCCTCAGCACTAAATCCTAAGAAGTATAACACCATGAAAGTGCCATCCTCAGCCCTACACCCAATAACCTACACACCCTCCAGTGAATCCTAAACCTTGAACGCTAAACCGTGGAACCTAAATCCTGATGACTATGATTAATACATGAGACGAACATCTGACAACTGAAAACTGAACCCTAATATATAAAGCGTAAACCCTGACGCCTGAACCTAAGAATATAAACGTTAACGCCTAGAAGACGAGCAGTGGATCGCGAAACCTGAGGCCTGAACCACACCCCTTGAGAACCACGCCCTGAAGCCAACACAACACGTCTAGGGATTGAGACCTAAATCTTAAAACATAAACCGTGAGGCTAAACTTTATACCTTCATCCCTAATTCCTGACCCCTGAGAAACCTAAAGATTCCACCATAAACCCTAAACTTTGACATAAAAATTGACCCCTAAACGCTAAACAGGAAGCACTGAGTACTAACACAAAACCTCAGAAACGTAAACCTTAGTACACTAAACGTGGAAAATAATCCCTCAAGCTTAGCCCCAGATGGCTAAATCGAAGGTCTAACACTGAATCTGCACGTAATCTTAAACGTGAACCCCTAAACGAGAAGTCCTAAATGATGCCTGGTAAAACCGAAATCCTAATCTCCACATCAGCAGGCCGAAAAAATAAATCCTATAAGTTGAACCCTAAATTGTAAGCGCTAAATCTACAACCTACATCACGAAACCCCAACTCAACAACGTCTAAATCTTGAACCGCAAACCCTAAAAAATCAACCATAAAACCTAATAGCTGACAGCCGACTGTCTGGAAACTGAACAAAGGGGCTCCAACCCTAAATCCTAAACCCTAAAGCAACCACTCTGGAAGCTGAACCCTAAAACTAGACCCTAAACCTTAGGAGCTAAGAACTGGACACTAAACCCTGAATCTGGGACGTTGATAAATAGAACCTGAACCCTAATACCTGAGGCATAACAACTAACAGGAGAGACCTAAACCCTGAAATCTAAACCCAGAACCGTCCACCGTAAACCGTGAACCATAAAACCTGAACAATAAGACTAAACCTTCAATCCTGAAAGGTAAACCCTGAAATCTAAAGGCAAGGTGTCAAATCCTAAAACCTAAATCCGCAAATCTAAAGGCTAATTCCTCAAATGTACACCTGAAACCTAAACGCCGATGCATGGATCCTAGACATAACCGCTAAATCTTGAACCATGAACCCAAAACCATAAGCGGTAGACCCTAAACCCTAACCCGTGAATCCGAAAACTAAGACCTACCCGTAAACACTAAATAAGGACTAAACCGTAATCCCTGAACCCCACCCCCCCAATGCCCCGCCTCCCTGCTTTCCCCCCGCGAATAGCTCCCAATTTTGGTCATAGTTCTCAGCTGCTCCCCCCCCCAGGATGTTTTCCCTACTGAGTCACACGAGCTACGGCACTCACTCCTGGCCCAACGTGTTCGATCCCCACATCGTGCCAACTGAGTCCCCTCGCCTGCTTCGTCCGTCTATTCTTGCTCCGGCTGCGCCCTATTATCCTATATACTCCAAAGCCGGCGAGCACCCCTAAGACTACTCCCAGCACCAATCCTATCGTCTGACCCACATTTATGTTAGAAGAAGAATCTTCATCAACCGTCCTAAGTTGTTCCTGAGCTTTCAAAAAGGGGAAGCATTACTTTTACTCTCAATAAGCCTGATCCCTTCCCCTATTACTATGCTCTCCTTTGCCCCCCCGTGAAGGACTGCTGTGCCTGGTGTTCGGGGGCACAGGGTTTCTACACTGTTATAATCCTGTCACCCTCCTCTAACTCCTCTGCTTACCCTTTTCTTCGTGCTCTAACCTCCCCTGCCATAGCTGTTTTACTTCTTCCTCTCTTTCTTGTTTCAAGTTATCCCACTCACTCCCGTGGGTTTCGTACTGCTCAGGAGGCTGTCCGTGAGTGGAATCTCCGGATATCTTTACCCTACACACAGTTCCCTTATCGCCCTTCCCTAAGCCTGCGATCTCGTGTGTTATCACTTCATACAAGTCGGCCCCAGGTAATTGCCATGCGCTTATAACTTTACCGCTTTCGTCTTCGATTTGGAACCAGTTCATCATTATTTCTCGTGCTATCTTCTTCCCTCCCCAGTGGCATAATTCTTCATAGATCTCCTGACATATATGTTTATCTCTGGTGTCCTTTGAGTTCACAGTCTGTCCACTCATCTTGATACCCAATATTACCATAATTATTCTTACAATATCCATGCATGCCTGTAGTGATCTTTGACTCTCTTGCCACATGTCCATTGTATTCACTCCCTTCAGAGTATTCCAGATCAGCTGCTCCCCCTTTACCCTACATTGTTGGTCCGGACTACTCTGACTTTTGGCTTCGACGTATTTGTCATACTGACAGCCTTGAAATGTTGAGATTCCTTCCGTAGTCTTCGGTACTGGTAATAGACTTAACCATTCTTCAATACTCAGACATATACCTCTAGAGAAGCTATACAGACCTGCTATTGGCTTCTTCCCCCTAGCCTTAATCTCCCCTTCATAGGCCCATTCCCATACAGCTTCCCTGTTCTTTAAGCTGCTTCTTAATCTACATATACCATTAGCCGATGCTTCTCTTCCCTCACAGATTCTTCTCAAGTTAGATTCCGATACGAGGTCCTTGAAGTAGTTTATAAACCAGGAACCCATTCTTGTCTTCCTTCTCTGGATATATTAAGAGGGTGACTCATATGCTTAGTAGTATTATAGCCTTAAAGGTAAAAGGGCCGCCTTAATGTTACTTTATCTTGCCTTACGTCTGCGATCATTCTTATATAATCCGAATCTTTATACTCAACTTGGCTCCCCCTTTTCTTATTCTTCCTTCGGTAATCTCTTCTATGCTACTGTCGCGTCGTTCCTTATAGTTGGGGATTCATGATATCCATGCTCTCCACTGACTGCTATTGCCTCCAGTTTGAGACCCTTAGATTTCTTCTCGGTCGTCTTAGGCCTCTTCCCCTCGTCCCACTAAGCTCCTGCGTTTCTGACTCACTTTATCCCCCCTGACCTACCTCATTCTGTTGCTTTCCTTGATTCTGCTTCCTCTAGGGGTTCTCAGGAATCCTTCCGCGGCTTACCAAATATTAACTAGTCCCTGGCAATGGGTGCTCCAATCCACTGATGCTTGTAGCTGTTTCGGCAAAACTTTCACCTGGATTCCTAGGCTAAAGTCTACTACTGGCCCTGCTGTTTCTCTATCCTCTATTACCATTGGAGAGCTCCCCTACAATTCGGAGGTACAGAAGTGGAGGGGGGGGAAATATTGCTGTGGGAGTTACTCAATTTTTAGAGAGTCCCTGGTAGACTCCATTTTCTCTCTTAGTTCTTATTTATCAATACTACGCCCTCATGGGGAATCCTCACGCAACTCCTATTCCTGACCCACCGAACACTACAAAAAGATACTTTGGGGGGGGAATCCTCCCAGCTGGGGCCCTCCTGAAAAACTCCTCTAACCCTTTCCTTTTCCTGTTCCCCTTGTTCCATAATCCCCCTAAATACTCTGTTCTGATCTATTATACGTGTTCACTATCTTGCTGCATTAATAATGATACCTGCAATATCCTCCTACACGTGCTCTAAGCTCAAATTTGAAAAGATCACAGCCATTTGCTAGGATTTCCCTTTTCGTTTATCCTGAGCTGGCGCCCTTCTCTGACTTTGCTTCACTTCTTCCTTCCGGTGCTTTGCTTTGAGTTGGCTCCTTCGGTATTATTGTCGTTTAGATGATAATATAGATTTTGCCCTTCTTGAGTAACACTAGTAGTCTTATTATCTTAGAGTGCCGTCCTCATTCCATATATTTTGGAGGCAAAGTCATACTCACCCTCGGCCATCACGTGCGGTCTGAATCTGTTGTGGGATTTGAGAGATCTCTTCAATGTATTTACATTCCTTCGTGCTGTTTCGGTAGGATTATTCCTAGGGCTTACATTGCTCCTGCGTGTCTCTTTTTATATACTACGAGATCATACCCCCACGGTTAATAGACTTCTTATTACTATTTCCTTTGTTTTGATCCTTCTTTTTCCTTGGACTTATGGGTTCTGTTGCCCCTTGGACTGGCGTCGCTTAACTTTGGCTGACGATTTCCTCTTTGATCCTCATTTTTGGGCTTCTAAGGTTGAATTTAGTTGCTGTTTCCTGACCTGCCGCCTTATATATATCAATGGTTATCCGGTTACTATGGTTTCCTTTCTTGGATTTATATATTTGAAGATACTCTTCTTTCTACTGAGGATATTTTCCAGAGTGACGATTACTTTCTGGTTTGTTGTCTGTGTTTACCAATTTGTTGCCCTCTATTTATTATTTTAGACTGATCTCGCTTCTGTTAATCGCTGCTTTAATTACTGCCTTAGTCAATAATCAACCTGCCCGTCGAGGTGTGGCCTCTAAGCGTTTCTGTGGTGGGTCAGTTGATACTCACTTACTCAATTCGGCCCCTTGCCCCCATCTGGTGTTTCCTCGGCCTGGGCACTCTGATATTTTCGGGCAATTCGGCTATCTTTCTCTCTTGTTGCTTTTATATTTCATCCTTATATATTCCCCTGCTGCGGCTACCTCTCTTTTTTTTCCCCTTGTTCCATGTGGGAGATTCTGCTGGTTGTCCCTTACTTAGTGGATGAAAACCATTGAGACAGCAATTTTCTGTCACTTCTCTTTCTTGAAGGGATTCCTGATTAATTCTCGTTACCTTGGTTGGCTCAGGCAAGGGTATCCTCCTGACTATTTAAAGCTTTCTCCTTATCCTTGCATAGGATGCCGCACCTTGTGTCCTTATTTTCTAATACTATTTCTTCGCACTTCTACTTAGGCGAAATCCCCCCTTCTCCTTAGTTATATGCGTATAAAACTGCTGTCGTGACGTATTTTGACGCCTGAGTCTGGTTCACCTGCTTCTTGAGTTTATTGTAACTTTCTGGTCTGTCAGTAGGCCATTTCAGGACTGGGGCTTTTCTCTTCAAGGTCTACTCCTTCTTGGCGATTCAGACTTTTCTTAGTGCTTTTTTCTCTTTTTTTTACGTTTTACTTAATTCCTGAGTGCCTGTTATACTACCACTTTGGAGGGGGGGGGGTAGTGAAAATGATCGCTCTCCGACATTTTAATTTAGAGATTGAAGGGAGGGGTGGTGTTCGGAAATCGACCGGCTTTTTCTGTACTCAACACCTCAGCCCCCATTTAGGAGTTGTTCCGGTTTAATACACAAATCCCTTCATCACAAAAGTCTACTTCTTAGGGGGTGGGTTGGTTCCTGGCTTGTCTAAAGTCAATTTTTAGTTAGTAGTACTACTTAATTCTTTATCTCTTCCTATGTTTGCTCCACCCTCAGTCCAGACTCGGCGGTCTAGAATTCATTTATATACCTGTTGCTGGTTAAGCATGTTTTGATACTGGCATCGGGGAAGTTTCTTCTTAATTGTTGTCTTGTCTTGGCTCATTGGCTCCACTCCTCGGAAAGGCTCTTCTGAATTTTCATTCCTTTTGTCTTTATTATAATTCTTAGTTATTGAAGTCAATCTTGCCTGTTTCCCTTTTTAAGGATACTACTTGTTCCCTCTGGTCCTTTTCTATTTTGTTGAGATTCTTATTCTATTTCTAATACATACATTCCAGAGACGGTCAGTGGGGGATATATTGTTAGTGGCGTATCCGGTGCATACTCATAGACTTCTCTCGTACTCTAGAGATTCGCCCTTTCACGGGGGATATCCTCCTAGACTCCTGTTTCACTCGTGGTAATCCATCTACTTTGATTTTTTCGATGTGTCCAAGCATTCCCTTTTAATTTTCTCCTAATCTTTTGTTTTCATGATTTTTTCTCTATAATGGGTAATAGACTTATCCATTAGGTTTGGCGGTTTCATTCGATTTCAGATCCGTTCGGGCATTCTCTCGGAACTAATGGTTTTATTTAATGCTTTGGGATTCCTGCCGTTTTTCTTGGGGAGGGGACAACTCCCTCTTCATTCGGGGATATTTGTTTCTATTTTTCCGCCTTGTTATACAGCTATTTAGGATCGTGGCCTTTGAGGCCTGGAGTGGTTGTGATAATCTTATGCTTTGACCTTTGTGATTTTTGAATTTCCTTTATTTTATACATTCAACTATTATAATCTCCGGCTGGTATCTTATTCTTATAGTGGCTTCGATAAATTTCTTGCTAAAGGCCATTATTTTTTAGAGTTATTTATTTTCCCGGGGGTAGGAGGATTCCAGGGCAGATACATGTTCTTTCATTTTCGGGGTATATCTTCTTCCCTATTGATTTCTTTTTGACTTTTGGTTTGTTTTGTTGGTTTCGCATTGTTCTCTTCTGCAGTGAGGGAAAGTGGTTAGCCTTCCTTTGCCTCCTGGTATTTGTTCGTCCCTTAGGGACCGACCCTTGTTTCTCCTTCCATAGGTTTCCTGCTTTCTCCTTGTGATCAGCACTGATCTGAGCCCGTCTGCTCTTGTGTTGTTAGATTCCCCCATGTAGCTCCCTGTATCAGTCCACTCAGATTATCTGAGTCGTGTGCGTGGGCCTGGAGGAATAATCTATTTCTAGTTTAGTGCTAGATCTTGGTGGGGCCTCAGGTTTCTCTGCTCTTAATTTTCTTGTCTGGTAAACCACTCGTCCTTAGGTGTGTTACTTTTCTGGGTTCCTTTACTCTTGGCTTGAGTCCTAAATTTCGGGATATTTTACTCATTTTATATCTGGATTCTATTTTCGTCGTCCTTTTTTCTTTTGGATTTTGAGCTGTGGTATTTGGTACGGCTGCCCTTCTATGTTGTCTCCTTCATAAGGTCTTTTATAATAGATTATATCAGGGGTTTAAAATATAGATTCTCTATAGAGTTTTACCTGACTTTTCCCTCCTTCCTTTTTAGATTCTAATGCATTCTCCTCTTTTCTTCAGAGTCTATGTTATCGCCTTATGATAGGGGATTTCACCCTTTTATCCATAATTCAACATCCTTATCGGTTAAGTCTTCGCATATTTGTGATTGGGTACTCATTCTTGCTGTTTCTTGTGCTTTCCTACCTTACTGTATTGGTTTTGTGGGTTCTCCTGTGAGACTATAGTCGTAGGAAGCTGTTAAAGGGAATAGTGTTAGGGTAGTAGGGGTTTTCTTATAAAAAATATCTCCTCATGCTCCTTTTGAGGGTTCCCTTTGTTTTAATTTCTGTGGCTCTGATTTCATGAGCTTCTATCCATTTCTATTTAAAAGGAAATTGCTCCTCCTGTTGTTTATTTTCTTGAGACTCCTTATCTGTACTGATGTGTCTCGAGGCCTGGTTCCTATTTGCCCCCTCATGCTTAGGGCTCTATTCGGACTCCTGATGTGTTGTTATTTCAGTTTACGTAGACTTTCCCAGCTGGTCAATATTCCTTCACGTAAGACTCTCGGAGTCAGGAATATTCAGTCTCTCCTCATTTCATAGAACTTCATTGTCAACTACTCGCTGTGGCCTTAGCTTTGTTTTCACTTCTAGCATTTTCCTTACCCTCCCCAGGCTTTTCCGATGCTACTTCTGGGGTTCCGGTGCATTCCGGTGTGCGTTCCTCGTATCTTTATTCTTGCAGTTGGCTGGTCGTTATTTCGTGTTGGACACCATTCCCTTCATTTTTGACATTTGCTTAGGGTTTTTTCATTTAGGGGG